CGATGCTTTATTCTGAATGCTCTCTGAGAAATGATTTTCTTTGCGAATGGAGAACTCTAACTGGAAGAAGTGCTTCTCTGTTGCAGGTGATTTTACAATTGCTTGGTGCACATTAAGGTGCTCAATAAATATTTCTGAGTAAGTTTTGGTTATATGAAATGATCTAGAGTTCTGCCCTAAACAGCATTTTTTTTTTTTTTTTTTTTTTTAACAAGATAAGTGTCCTACTGAATGCTCTCTGAGAAATGATTTTCTTTGCGAATGGAGAACTCTAACTGGAAGAAGTGCTTCTCTGTTGCAGGTGATTTTACAATTGCTTGGTGCACATTAAGGTGCTCAATAAATATTTCTGAGTAAGTTTTGGTTATATGAAATGATCTAGAGTTCTGCCCTAAACAGCAAATCACGACTAGTTCTTCAGCTTGTGAGAGGATACTGGGCCCCATTCGTGGTGGAGGAGAAGATGTGTGTGTGCATGTTTGGACACATGCATGTATGTGTGCATTGTCTTAGCCTATTTATAAATGGCAATTCTTTTTCTAACCTTGATAAGTACTTTCATAAATCCTTCAAAATATTTAGTTGTGGTGTCTAAGTTATTTACAGAATAATACTTCAAAGAGTTCATGGCCAGATAGAATGTTGAGTTTGATGTTTGTAACAGGAGCTGAGTCAGCCAAGAAGTTCCCACACACAAAGCAAGTGTGTCAAAGACCTATTGAAGGGCCAGTCAAGGTAAGTAGGCACCAGTTCGTTCCTCTTTGTCAAAATAGAGGCATAGTGAAATAGAATTGTCCCATGCAAAAATATTTAGTGAGAGAGTGAACCTCTATTATTATTTCTCTTGCATGTTTTCTGTGTTGCTGTGACCTGCCTGACACCCATCATAGAGACTTCTGCTGTGGTGGTCTGTCTTCAAGTTAGGTTGCTGGGTGAGGCATGCTCGCTACTGCTTGGCAGGCTGCTCTCAGAGAAAGCAGCTCTTCTGGGCTCTCATTGGCCCTATTCGAGGTAGCTTCCCATTTCTCCATTGGCTTGTTGAAACAAAAAGTTAGGCAAAGTGAAACAACACAATCCAAACTACACAAAACTGAGTATAGCTAGTGTTTGCATTTTATATAGGCCACTGGTCTCTCATACTAGACCCCAAGATTTTTCTGTAGTTGAGCAGATGGCAGGTGGTACCCAAGTTTTTATGATCGAGGTGTTCCCAGAAAAGTCTTGTCTCTCTCATCAAATCTAGCTTCGTCACACAGTTTATTTCTATTCATGGCAGGTGCTGTCTTCTTCCACAAAATCCCATCTTAGCTAAATGAGCCCACTGGGCTGGCCATGTAATTATTTCTCCAGCTGAGCACAGTTATGATCAAGTTCTCTGTGGGCAGTAATGATTCCTCATTCCACTCTGGAACCAGTCAATAGGAACAGAAGATGCTGCAGTGTATCATTCAACAGATCTGAGTTACACAAGCAGTCTCCTGGCAGGGAATTCCATTGATTCATCTTTATCAATAGTCATAATGCAATTTCTTAGGTATATATGCACCAAAAACATGAGGAAGCACTTTCGTAGTTGTGTTATTTGTGATAGGCACAAACTTGAAATATCTCACATCATCCTCCACAGTCTAATGGATAAGTCATGGTATATTCATTCACACAGTGGAATGTTACACAGCAGAGACTGAACACGCCAAAGCCATAAGAAACAACACATATTTTCTTACTTTCTCACAGAGATATTCTAGGATTTTACCTATATATATTTCAAGAACAGACAAAACTATTTTCTGGTGTTTAAAGCCACATTTAGGAGGACCGCTGAGAGAGGACACCAGGAATTCTTCTGGGTTGTTGATAATGTTTAATTGCTTAAGCCAATGGTGATTTCATGAGTATGATTACTTAATACAATTCCATTGAACTGTGCTTTTGTGTACTCTTCCATATCTGTGCCCAATAAAATGTTTACTTAAATAATGTAAAAATAGAATTAGGGTTCATAGTCATCTGTTTCTGTTTTTTAGAGGACTTGTTGCTGAAATGCAGATAGGAAATTAAAGGGTATGATAAGGTCAGTTTCTTCTTCCAAACTCTTGTGATGGGAGGAGTGAGTGAGGTGAGACCAGGTGTGTTGGTCTAAGGAAATTTCTTCATAGGGAGATTGGGGGAATACATTTTCCTCCAGCAGTGTAGTTTCCAATTCTGATTCCGAAGCCATTATATAACCTAAAGGAATGGTTCAAATGTAATACTTATGATCAACAGAGTATATATTGTAGGCTTTGGGGAAAATTCTTAAGTAACCCAGCTAAGTCCCCACTTCTTGGAGACCTGTGGTTAGCATGGTCATTACCTGAATGCTGCATCACATTGGGAGCTTGTGAATCCACCTGATCACAGAGATTCATGAGTTTGAAGGTGGTTTATGGCTACACATCCATCAACAGATGAATTGTATGTTGGTTTCATAGGAAATTAGAATACCTAGGAAATTTTTGTTAATGAGGATTTTGGCTAGCAGTTAGCTTCTACTCCACATACTGATGAATAGTCTTATTAACTGATCTATCCCCCCACCCCATTTTTTTGGGATGCATACATTTATTAGATAATAGAAAATTTCTACAAATCAAATGAAAAGTTTCTTTTTTTTTTTCTTCGAGAAACACTTAGGAGAGAATAAAAACATTCTTTGAGGTTCTTTCATTACAGTGCCATCACAGAGACAGGAATAGCTTAAAATAACCAGAACTCATGCTTGAAATCACAAATTCAGCATTCAGCATTGTGAAAACCCTCAAATACACAGGCTTGCCTGTCGGAGGCAACTCAGCATTAACTTTATCAAGAGTGGATTCCTAGGACATGCCTAATTTGTGAGAAATCTTTGAGTTCAGAGAACTTGCTTAGTTGAAATTTCATTATGTATAAAGTTGTTCCATGTCTGGCTCAAATATTGAAACTCTGCAATTTGCCAGCTGTAGACTGTGAAAAAAAGGCCTGACAGTTTTAAATAGGAAGACCAAGACTGGGTCACATTTCAAGGTTAAACTGGGGCTTTTAAAACTGGATCATTAAACACAGACACTGTTGAAATGTATTCATTATGAGGGAGTGAGACCTATGCTTCAATAATTATTAATAAGATAGTTAGCAAAATTACAGTGTAAATTGCATTTTTAGATCTTTTCCCCCTATCGTGTCTTTTCCTTACTTCCATTGGACTCCATTCCAGCACAACGTTGTGCTAAGCTTGCCCTCCTTGAACATGTATGTTCTCTGTTCATTTGTTTGTTGTTTAATTCATTCATTCACCCATCCATATATCTAATATATAGATTTATTTAGCACATACAACAGCGAGGAATAGAATCAATTTTGAGAAATAGGTACAGTTTACTTTGGGCCTCTTATAAGTGATGTCTACCCTATTGGGGTTTTCTGTGTTAGTAATTATAAAAGGAACTCCAAATTAGTTCATTGAAAAGAATATAAATGCAGGCTAATGAGATACTTCTCAGCCACATTTAGTGGTCTTTGCACTTGCTTGTGGAAAGAGATTTTTCTGCTTCTTATGTTGTCTGATGTACTGTGCAAATAAAGGACCATTTCTGCCATCAGTTAGACCATCAGTTATGTACTTGCCAAAATGACCTTTCTCAGGACAGCCCAGTCAACTTCATAGAGATGGCACCATTATCCAGGAAGTTGCATGATGGCCTTGTGTTTGCATTTGGATGTAGGGCCCCATGACTCACCCATGGGTAAAGCATGACCAGAATATGAGTAAGAAAGGGTCACTTATAATGACAGTGTGTGGCTGGATAGCAGGAGGCTTTAGCAGTCCACAGCGTGGAGCAGTCCACTCTCAATGGCCTTTTAGCCATTGCCTCCAGGTTTCAGAGGCTGAGCTGTAGGTCTCGCTTCACTCTCGTGATCATGCTTCCAGACGCTGTTTCTGATCAGAGTATTTCAAAAAAGAAGTGAAATTATCCTATGGAGACCACTCTAGCTTTCTGAACCCTATCCTACTTTGTTGCAAATGAAACTACTTCTCTTTTTGGTTAGATCTAGAAAATGAACAAGTGTTAACATCCCTTTTGAAATTTCCTTCTTTTATCTCTTTATTTATTTACAAATATTGGATAAATAAAGATCAAATATATTTACGATATACAATGTGATGTTTTGATTTACATATACATTGTGCAATGACTTGCACATTCAAATGAACTAACACATCCATCATTACCCATTCTGCACGTTAGAGCCTCAGAACTTGTTCATTTTACAACTGAACCCCTTTGTTCACTTTTGAATTCTCTGATACTTTACTTATGATAGGCACTGAAAGAGGGACCATGGGAGGTTACGCAATTGACTCCTTTCTTGTGTCCTCAAATTGTGATATAATTAATCCATGCAGGAAATGTAGCCACTGACTGCAAGTGCTTTATCGAACATCTCAACTCAGTGGGACTCAAATATGAAGTGGTTTGTTTTTCTCCTATCACTTTCTTCAAACATGCTCTTTTGAATTGCCTTTCTTTTTGTATCCTTTAACAAGCCTTTGGGCAGATCCTATAAGTCTTCAATCATTTTCAGATATTGAAAAGTTGAGTGTTACCTGGTTGATGTTGAAATTTCAATCTCACATCTAATTTAGTGCTGACCTCTCCCTGATCCCACAGCTTGAGAGATTTATATATATAGTGAATAAGATCTGTTCTTACTTTATTCCTTCCTTTTCTGCTTTTAGTTCTTCCAGGGTTAGAGCAGATAAGAGGGATCTTAGGAAACAGCCAACTCTTTTGACTTTACTTTGGTGTTATGGTCCTTCCCTGCTTGCCTATCCATGTCTGTGGTATGGCTGGCTTCCAAGTGCTGGTTCTCTTTGAGGCTGGTGAGTAGGTCCTTTGAGAGACATAGCCAGAGGCAGATTCAATGCAATTTTTTGGCCTGGGCCCAGGAAGGGAGGGAGAAACCAGAGCACTTACCAGAGCTAGGATTTATAACTCCGAAGGTTCTCTAGTCTTGTGGGCCAGTGGTTCTCCAGGTTGGCTATATATCCAAATCATCTGGTGAGCCTTTAAAAGAATACTAGTGTCTGAGTCTGGCAGGTGACATGGCTCTGGATTCCCACATGGCTGACTGTGGTTGAGTCCTGGACGTGGTGACTTGCTTGCTCTCTCTCTCTCTCTCTGTCGTGCTCTGGTCAAATTAAAAAATAATACTACTAGGGACCAGCACATAGCATAATGGTTATATCTCTGAATTCCCACTGAGCCGTCTGCGTCCTTCGCTGTGTGCTTATCCATGTCTGTGGTATGGCTGGCTTCCAAGTGCTGGTTCTCTTTGAGGCTGGTGAGTAGGTCCTTTGAGAGACATAGCCAGAGGCAGATTCAATGCAATTTTTTGGCCTGGGCCCAGGAAGGGAGGGAGAAACCAGAGCACTTACCAGAGCTAGGATTTATAACTCCGAAGGTTCTCTAGTCTTGTGGGCCAGTGGTTCTCCAGGTTGGCTATATATCCAAATCATCTGGTGAGCCTTTAAAAGAATACTAGTGTCTGAGTCTGGCAGGTGACATGGCTCTGGATTCCCACATGGCTGACTGTGGTTGAGTCCTGGACGTGGTGACTTGCTTGCTCTCTCTCTCTCTCTCTGTCGTGCTCTGGTCAAATTAAAAAATAATACTACTAGGGACCAGCACATAGCATAATGGTTATATCTCTGAATTCCCACTGAGCCGACTGCTGTACAAGTCCTGGACTCAGTGGCTTAAAACTCACATAGGGCCCATCTGCGTGTTTACCCAAAATCCCAAGAGAAGAATGGAGGAGAAGAGATTGCTGTGTGTGGGGTGATTTCTTGTTTTCTGTCTCTTCATCTCTCTCTCTGTCTCTCTGGTGAATGCACATGCCTTATAGCAAAAAACTCTCTAAAAGTCTTAAAAATCTCTCTCTATAATAAATAAATAAATAATTCTTGAGGGGGAGGGGGAACAAAAAAAAAGGAATGCCAGTGTCTGAGCTCAACCAGAGAAATACTGACTTGATTGGCTGATTGGCATGGGTATTTTTGAAAAGCTGTCCAAATTATTCTCATATGCATCCAAGTTTGAGAAACACTTCATGTGGTCTAGTGGGAATGGAGGGGTGATGGTAGCAGCCTTGAGAAGTAAATATCATGGGGCTATGACTGATGGTTCCATGGTAACTCTCTTAAAATGTGGGATATTCCAAAAATCTACTGCTTTCCACTTTGTGACCTTAGATTAAATTTACATCAACAGAAAAATCCTTTTCAACCTTTTATTTTGCTGTCACTTGTGTAAGAGTCCTTGACGCTCTTGCTACTTGATTGGCATCTCCTATAAGGAGAGAGTTCACACGAAGAGCTGTGGTTGCCTTTTACCATTACAGGCCAAGAGGCTCAACAGTTAGTACAGTGTGTGAAACTGTACCTCACGACAGCAATTTCTGGAATACCCTGGAGGGATCATGATTTCACAACACACTTCTCCTTTTTCAGCTAAGATTAACAGGAGTTTGCTTCAAGAAACCACAGGCACATTCTGTGACATTTAATTTCCTCTCATTCCTATCTCCCCTTTCTCCAACACATTTTACTAGCAACTTCAGTATGAAAATAGTATCGTTCTTTCGTTCTTACTGAGATTTTTGTCAATTCTTGCTACTTATGCTACTCATGAAGTTATTATCCTTTGATCTTTGATGTAATTATTTCCATAGCAACAGATTTTAATATCAAAACATGAAAGGATGACTTCAAGTGAAGAATAAATGACAGAGGCCAATGAACTTAGGAGGACCAACTCTACTACTCTGAGTGCAATGAAAGCCACTCTGAACAAGCATTATTCAATAACTGAAAGAGAATCATGCCCAAATAGAAATTCCATTTTTCCCACGAATCATCAGTACCTCTTTAAGCACACTTCCTTTGGGACAGGTTTTGGTATAATTACAGCTAAAAAGGAAACAAAATGCCTAACAAAATGATGTGTGGTTCGGATGAAAAGGTTTTGACCATATAAAGGCACTCATTTATAAAGACACTCACTTGCAAGTACAAGGCCCCACTAATCATCAATGACTTTGGGAATGTGAAGTTACACCCTGATCACAGGTATACACAAAGGTCAACAAGTGCTCATAGGTATCATTTAGTAAGTATGTGAAAATTCTCTTTCTATCCATCTTTTCTTTGAAGGGGGTCAGGATACGCCATCCCCAAATATACCACTTTGACATATTGGTTATTCTGAGCTAAAGGCAAATGAGAATCAACAGATGCAAGAAGAGCTCTCTACCCTACTCCCCTTTTCTTCCTAACAGAAGGGCATAACTTAGACTTTCTCCTTTATCAGAATAAGAAGAACAACCTTTATCACTGGAGATGGAGAGATGGCACTGAGATGAGTCTGCATAAATACACCTTACTAAAATAACCTTATCCTCTATTAGTTTCCCTGATATATTTCCAGTTACTGTCCCACAATTTATTGGCCCTAGAAGCCCAAATCCCCCCCCCTTTTTTTTTGTCTAGTCTATTCTCCACAATGTATCACCCTTTGTTAAAATGGTATATAAATTTGCGAGTCTCACAGCTTCTTCGGGATTTTCACTTATTTTCTATGGAGTTCCCTAATATAAAGTTAAAATATTAATAAAAAATTTATTACTTAAAACATTTTCTACAAGGCATATGTGCTCACTGGAGAGAAAGAGAGAGAGAAAGAGAGAGAGTAAGAAAGAAAGTACTCTTACAGGAAGTATGGTCCCACCACAATCCCTTCTCTTCCATTCTCCTCTTAGGATTTTGGGCATGCATGCACATTTTCCAGCAGTGTTTTTTAATGCACTGGGTCCAGGACTTGAACAATGCGTTGGCCATGTGGGATCCAGATACCTTAACCTCCATGCCACTGACTGGCTCTGACTTTTATTCTGGTAATCTGTTTTTTATCAGTTTAATTTGCAGGCCCCAGTCACTAAACTAAAAAAGTATAGGGTATTATTTTTCTCTCCTTCTTGCACAGGACATTTCGAAGTCTTAAAAATCTAAATGGAAAGCATTAAATCTGTGTCTATTGTTAAAAACAAACTCCAAAACTGCTAAAATTGAATTTAGGTGAAAAATGCACCTAAAAAGTCTTAAAGGATCTTAGTTTTTATTTTATCTCTGCCATTAACTAGTTTTGTGATTTAGGAAAAGTAACCTAATCTTCATGGGCTATAAGTACTCTGTTGTAAATTAAAGAGGTGAGTCAAGCAATCTCTACTTAAATTCTTCACAGCTTTATTGTTCTGTGTGTTTCTGATTTGTCACTTGTTCATCACTGTATGTTATGGAAAGAAAAAGAATCATGATCTAGTTTGTTTTCTACTCTTTTCTACCCTCTTTTCGCCTATTAGCCTTTTGGAAAGTCTCACTGTCTAATGAGCAAAGCATGTGCACAGGTAAATTTTAATTTTGGATTACCTATGATTTAGTAGCAGAAATGGCTAATTATTAATCAAAATATGTAATTTCCTTTCTATAGTTTGTAATTAATTAATAATCCTGTAGTTAATTGAGACCATGTGACTAGACTCTGTCTCTAGACTCTAGGAAGACTTATTTAGTCAAGCAGATAAGAAGAAAATTGCCTGTGCTTTAAGGTTTTTATTTAAGAAGTCCTTGCTTGCTCTGATGGTTCTCAGAGTTTTTCTTGCATTGCACACCAGTAGTTTTATAGTTTGAGGCCATAGGTTTAAATCTTTGATCCATTTTCAGTTTATTTTTGTTAATGGTGAGAGATAGGATTCAGTTTCATCTTTCTGCAGGTGGATACACAGTTTTGTCAGCACCATTTGCTAAAGAGATTTTCTTTTCACCACTGGATTGACTGGTGCCCTTTGTCAAAAATCAGCCGATTGTATGTTTGAGGGTTTATTTTTGGCCTCTGTCTTCTGTTCCATTGGTCCACATGCCTGTTTTTGTATCAGTACCATGCTGTTTTGATTATCACAGCTTTGTAATATATTTTGGGGTCAGAGAGTGAAATGCTTCCTATACCACTCTTCTTGTCCAGTATTGCTTTGGCAATACAAGAGTCTTTCATGATTCCAGATGAATTCTGTGATTGTTTTTCTAGATCTGTAAAATATATCTTTGGTAATTTGGGATTGCATTAAATTTGTATGTTAATTTGGGTAGGACTGACATTTTAATTATGTTAATTCTTCCCATACAGCAAAATGGAATGTCAGGTAATAATCCCCAAAATAGACAAGTGAGATTACATCAGGTTAAAAAGCTTCTACTCAGAAAAAGAAACAATAATTAGAGTGAATCAGCAACCCTTGGAATGAGAAAATATATTTGCAAACCATTTCTCAGGTAAGAGACTGATAACCTGACTATACAGGGAACTCAAATAGCTTACCCACCCCAAAAATGATCAACCAAATTAAAAGATGGGCAAATGAGCTAAACAGGCAACTGTCTAACAGACATGAACAACCAAAAATCATATGAAAACATGCTCAACATCCCTTATCACAAGGGAAATCCAAATCAAAACTACAATGAGATACCACTTAACCTCAGTCAAAATGGCTAAGATTAAAAGAATTAAATATGATAAGTGCTGGTGAGGCTATGGTAAAAAATGAACTCTCCTACCCTGTTGGTGGGAGTGTAAGTTAGTTCAGTCACTGTGGAGAATAATATGGCAGTTCCTCAAAGACCTACAAATAGAACTACCATATGATCCAGCAATTCCACTCCTGGGTATCTAGCAATGGCTAGGAATACACTCAGTATGAAGAGTACTTGCGTATTGATGGGGTTTTTTTTATGGCATTATTCATAATTGTTAAGACATGGAACCAACCAAAATGTCCATGAACAGATGAATGGATTGAAAAAGTGTAGCAAATATACACTGTGGAATACTGTTTGGCCATAAAATACAAGACCCTGGCATTTGATAGAAAGTGGATAAACATAGAAGGTTTACTGCTAAGCTAAGCAAACTA